AATTAATAATAATAATAATAATAATAATAATAATAATAAATTGTTTTAATATGTTTTAAATTGAAACATTATTATTAACATATTAAAACAAATAACATGAGATATGAGAGAGAAATTTAATTTTCATATAGAAAAAGGAATAATTTTTTAATTTTATAAAAAAACAAGTTTTTGTATTTTGTAAGTGTAGTATGCCTGCCATTTTACTTGTATTGAATGTACTATAATATCTGATAATAGTTTTATTGTGGTTTAATAAAACTCAACTTAATATTAAATCAAAATATATACCTTTATTAATGATACTTACCTTTCTCAATCTATGATATAAACTATATTCTCTTAGCCACTCTTGTAAAGATAAAAATTCTGATTCTTTTCCTGCTACTCGAGTAACACCATGAGAACTAATGGTCAGATAATCTTTTCGGTCAACATCTTGAAAACTTCCAATTCTGAAAATTATTTTTAGAATAATTTAAAAATCATTTTAATTTAAATACATGTAATTCAAATAAAATAAAACTGAGAAAATTAAAATAGTATAGTTAATTCAACATAATTATATAAAAAATATACAATTTTACTATGAAAAATGAACTCATACTTGGATTATCAATATTTTATTATAGAGTACAATAGCACTTTACAGGAAAGCTCTACCACATTTAATGTTAAAGTGCTAACTTTGACCCTTAATATTTCCAAGACCAATGCACTGATCTGACCAAGAAATTTAAAATATTTAGTGTCCACAATGAGTATTGCGAACATATTAAATTTTGAATAAATTTATTGGATTGTTTTTGACTTAGGTGATCAGCATTTTGTCACCTCGATTTACAAGAGAGAATAGCAACACCAAGCTATGAAACAATGTAGGAGTCTGAATATGGTTAATAACTCATTTGAAAGTTGATGACCTCATATTTGCCCTTTTGTAGGTTTTATTTAAAAATACTCAGTATTTATAAAATAAGAGCCTTTTTTTTAAATTTTAACACATTATTGGTCAACTTGCTATCATGTGATATGAAAGCTTAGGCTATCGTGTGACTGTCACATGAAAATAGAATTATCATGTGATTTCAGATAATTATTATGACTTCATGTCTTGTGATTACTTTTGACGTATTATTAACACAAACCTAATGATTTAAAAACAGAGTATTTATAAAATAATATCCCATCTTTTAAATTTTAGAATATTATCAGTCAATCAGTTATCATGTGACATTGTGTACTGCAGACTATCAAGTGACTATCGGGTGAATATAGAATTATGAAAACTATTCTATTATTAACTCATTGATCACTAAAAAATATTTAAAATCCCATAAAAAAAAACTGGTAGAACTATGTTGAAAAGAAAGCTCAATGAAAACATCTAAATAAAGGAAACTTTTGAAAGTTGTGGCATAAGAATACCAGAACCAAATTTGACAGTAAGACTCAACATGTAAATAAAGTGAATGTTATACAGACTACAACTACAGGAAGTTTTGAATGATGCAATGTCACCATGATAATAAATTGGAAATTATCATAGAAAAAGACAGCTTTACTTTGTGTCTTAATGGTCAAAAATAAATCAAACAAAAAATACAGTGGAACCCCGGTTAACAAACTTACTCCATTCGTTAACTGAATTGTTCATTAACCAAAGCAATTTTCCCCATAGAAATTAATGCAAATGCAATTAATCCGTTCTAGTCTCCGAAATTTTTGTGATTTTATTTGTAATATACAGTAATTTTCTTTGATGAAAATGTAGGAAAACGTAGTATCTATCATTACAGCAACAAACATGTAAACTTTGTTTAATAAAATAGCACTACATATCTTCGTTTGTTGTAGTTGGTGGCAAAAAGTGGAGATGTACGAATCTTAATGCTTAGAAGGGGAATCCCTTCCAAAAAAATAACGGGTAGCACTTCATCGAAAGATTCTTCGAGTCAGAGTCAAAGTCTCTTTTGGTAAAAAAAACCCACCAGTGGCTAAGTGGTCTTCGTACCTTGAACACGGGGAGTTCATTCGTGGGTTCACATCTCACTCAGACGGGCTGGCCACGTGGAGTTTTCCGAGTTTTTTCTACATCTATAACGCCTAAATAGGGGCCAGTTTCCCTTAAAAACACCTCCCAGAAGGCATTCCCCCTAGGCAGATCGCCCAAGTGTTGCATTGCCATAACTTAACAAACAAACAAACTCTTTCCGTAAGGAACAAGAAATTGATCTAAAGTTGATCGTCTTACTCTTTTAATCAAAATTTTTCTCAGATGCAATAGTGCATTGTTGTTTATATTGCGTTGTCGTTTTTTATTGCCACTATGACTTTTTAAAGAAAAAAGTCATAGTGGCAATAAAAAACGACAACACAATATAAACTTGGATGCCATATTGATTAAATATAAAAATCACAAATTTGAAAAAAGAAGTATAGCACAAACACTCGGAAAAGCAATGCTTAACTCGCGCATGCCTAATATCAACTAAAATTTCACACAAAATACCGTTACGTTCGTTATCCGAGACAAAATTTTTCAAAATAAAAGTTTGTTAACCGATTTGGTCGTTAACTAGGATGTTCGTTAACCAGGGTTCCACTGTAATATAAAGTGATAAAAATAATTAGAGAAAAGTGTTCCAAATACATTTTTGATATTTTTTTTATAAAACATTAAAGTTTTAATTTAATATTTATTCAAATTTTGAATCTTTATAATTAGCAAATCTTGAAATCATAAACAGATAAATGTATAAAAATGTCAATAAAAATTTCTATTTTATTATTATTAAACCATTTCTTGCCCAATTATGTCTATTATATATATATTAAACTATGTTGTATTTGAATATAAGGCTTATCATACATATGGCACACTATTATACTAAATTACCATAGTATATACAATTTAGACCATTTTATTTATTGACATATCCAAAATGCATTTCAGCTATCTGCTTAGCCCTCTTCAGTTGGATATAAGCCTACAGTACAGAAAAATGTTTTGAGACAATACAGAACTGTAACATCAACATGTATACAAACACGTTTAAAAATTGACAAAACTAGTTAAAATATGGCCTTTACAACTATTAAAATAACATTAGAATTTGGCACCAATCACATTTAACCAAATTAAACTATCAACAACATTCCATGCTTTCATGTACTGTGCATCTTATGAATGGAATGTTGTCATGGTCTGTACATGTATGACCCTTTTTAGAAAAAAAAACCCTTAAAAAACAAAAAAGAAGGTAGAAATGCTGCCAACCATTCTTTTCTCAATCTACTTAATTTTCTTAACATTTTTACTAACCCAGCTATCTAACTCTTTGGGCCTAATAGATCTAAATTTTAGAAACAGACCTTAGAAATATGTTTAAATTAAGTTTTTTATATTTTTTCGTCACACGTTTTGAGTAATTTTTTTTTTGGTTTGAGTTGTGCCATTTTATTTTTTGTATGTAAAGAAAAACAAAATTGATAGATATGTCTGCTACATAAATAATTGTAAGCATCATGTTTGAATTCATAATAACTTGAATCATACTTGTATCTATATAATTTTTTTAAAATTTTGTACCATTTTTTAGATGTATACTGAAGAAGAATCACTAAATATCATGATTTGAAATACATTTATACTAGTGAGAAAAAAATGACATGTCAAAAATAGCATAGTTACTTGAGTTGCTATGAGTCAGACAATTGGAATTTGAAACAGAATATTGTACCAAAAATTTGGTTTATGAATTAAGAGAGAAGTAAGAGAATATACTCATACTCTGAATCCATATAAGATAATTTTTAAAAAAATTGTTGTCCAAACCAAAATAGTATTTTTGTATGTTATTAGTAAAAGATACTGTTAATAAAAATCTAAAGAAAATTTTCAATTTTTTTCCCCAGCTTACAATAGTGTTATACACTACATCAATTTAGTGCCATTTTCACTTCTCCTTTTCATTCTCATAAAGTATGAACCAGGTTTTAATCAAAAGTTTATAATATTAAATATAATATTTTATTTAATTTATAATTAATATAATAACCTTAATATTCTATTAACTATAATTTTCTATATTAATTATTAAACATTTTAAAACTTTAAAACAAAATTTATTCAAAAAAACCCACAAAAGGTTGGAAAATAATATAACAACTTACAGAAACCTTCTGTACTTATTCCAGCAGGTACGTTTATTAGAAAAACTAATGCTTTCAGCCACTTTCACAAAGCATTCGATTTATGGAATATATAATAACCTGAGGAAGGTCTCTGAAAGTGACCAAAAACATTTTGTTTTTTCCAATAAATATACCTGCTGGAATAAGTACAAAAAGTGTCTGTGAGTTGTTAATTTATTCAATTTCTGGTTATATTGATTTAAATCAATGTTATAAAATCAACAAATTATAAATAATTAAATATTAGCTTTATAATTGATTAAGTAATATTTTTAGATACATAAGTATTAAGCAATGAAGTCAGGAAAATATTTACATGAACCAGATAAATCAAATTTCTTTCTTTAATACAGTGGTGCCTCGTATAACGTAGGCCTCGAATAACGGACGCTGCGAATAACGGACTTTCCGTTCGGCAGTTACGTGAGACACACAATGGACTTTTTTCGAACAAGTGCGAATGATGTTTCCACTCTTTTGCCGTTGCCAATGACAATCTGCTATTTTTAGGATATATTAGTATTATTAGAATGTATTATTAGTATATCTGAAGTAGAAATGTAATGTAATATATGTTGATGATTTAAATAAACATTAAATGTAATGTAATACAGTATATGTTGACGATTCAAATAAACGAAATGTAATTGTGTAGATGCCGAGGTGGCGGGACGAAAAGAGGTTGTAAAAAACAAACGGAGCGAGAGTAGCTCGTAGAAGTGTTTAGTGATCTTAATTAATAAAGAATTATTCGTATCATATAATCTGGCAAGTTAAGTCATTTATAATGCATCATGGCTTCTAAAAAAACAGAAAGGTGATTTCAATTGAAACAAAGCAAGAAATCATCAGGAGTGAAAGTTGACAAAAACTTTCTTGTCGAATGGGGAGAGGTTCAGGAGTTTACCAACACTCATTATCCAAACAGAGCTGAGGCCAACAGGATCAATGATCTCTACGATGACACCTTTGTCCGTCATTTCCGACAGGTGTTAAAGAAGAAAGAGAAACAGACCACCTTGGTCATGTTTTTCAAGAAGCCAGCGGGCAAAAAACAAAGGATGGAACAAGAGAAGTTGACCCTGCAAGTTCCGGTAGCCTCTCCTGAATCTGACTCCGATTAAAAAACAATAAAAAAAGACCCGCTGCAATGTGTAAAAAGTCTGTATCTGTATGAATGTGTAAAGAAAGTGTTCTTCCTCCTCCTCCTCACAACATCTGACTACCCGGCATAATTGGTGTCTGCTTCATTTTCATTTTTTATGGTACAGTACGGTTATTTTATGCTGGAAACGAATTATATGTTTTAACATGTATTTCTATGGAAAAATGCGTTTCGTATAACGGACGTTTCACTTAACGGACATACACCTGGAACGGATTAAGTATGTTGTATGAGGCACCACTGTATTTGATTTCAGTATATAATAAAATTTTTGAATATGCAAATTCAGATGAGTTCCAAGCTATTTTATGCAAAAATTATTCACAAAAACTTACTTCTTTTGCTCTATTAGTGTATTTGTTATATTTTATTCTACTTACTTTAAATAATATGGATTATAATTCACATCATCTTTTGACATCATTGGAACAAGATATAAAAACTCAATGGATGGATTTTCTTTGCATATCCTAATCCATTCTAAAGGATCGGTAATGCCATAATAGTCAACTGCACCTAAAAATGATTAAATTATGTATTAATATTGTAATTATTAAATTATTATTTTATAGTTTCAAATAAAATTAAAAATAAAATTTAACATGAAAATTATCATTTAATGTATATAACTAACTATAAAAATAATAACTAACATATATTAAGTAAATATAAGTAATCATTCTTGCATCAGTTAGCTTCAAAACCAAAATCTTAAATTATAAAATAGTTTTTGATTAATATAGTTCTAAATTTATTTAAATTTTACATTAAATTTTAATTGTCATCTATCATCAGTAAAAACTATGTAATTTTTAACTAAACAAAATGTAATATTAAAAAATCATAATTTGTTTCTAGAAACAATTAATCATTCAATATATTATAGAAACTATTTTTTATGTTGTACAGTACATAAGATTGAGGTAATGGTTACAAAATTAAGGTTATGAGCAAGCTAAGCTGAAGATGGTATTCTCAATAATATCCCAACACTGGAAGAAGTCCACTAGCAAAGGCTTGTCATCATAAGTTAAAGAAGTCATAACTGAGCATCTGCAAGATTTAACAACTAGCTTCAGAGATTATTTCCCAGTGTCAAATCCTGAAAACTCAGGGATAAATATTATTGAATATGATGAGGTACAATTAACAACTCATTCTGAGGAGGAGTAAGATAAGCTTGCTGATATGATCTGTGATGATGTGTCAAAAATATTTTTAAAAGAATGCACACTTGATGAATTCTGGGTGAAGGTATTTTCTGATTATGAGAAATTAGGTGAAAAAGCTTTGAAATATCTAGTTCCAGTTTGTTCCATATATCTTTGTGAACAAGCACAGAAACTGTCTTGATGTTGATTTAAGATTAAAATTAGGAAATATTGACCAGATGTGAAAGGAACTGTACAAAACAAAAAGAGGCATGATTTCTCCCATGATATTTTGATTGAACATCTGCTATACTGTACATGTCATATTTTTTAATTTGTTATAAATAAGAGTTATTAGAGGAGGTTATAAAGGTTAAATATTACAAAAAAATTCAAAACAAACAAATTATACTTGTATGTTTTGAATATTGCTACTTATATCTCAATTACAGATACCTATATAGATATCAAACCTTTCAAAAATTATGGTGCCCTGGCTTATCTTTAAAACAAAAGGGGTTTCTCAGCTTTCAGCTAATTGGGAACCACTGCCTTAGGTGATTACAATTTTTGCAGTTTTTCCCCCTAACCCTGTTCAGCAAGTGTCAATTATCAGTAATCTATTCTTTACAACAAACACAAATAGTTCCTTAAACCCACTCAATTCAAAAATCTTACTATATGTTGACAATATCAAACTCATCAATAATGATCCAATAACTTTACAAAAAGACAATTATGTTAGCCAATAGACTAGAAAAATTAAATTTTAAAATCAATATCTCCAAATCTGCCATTATAGTATGTGTTATTCATTATTATGCTCGCCATTCAGTTTTCCATTTATGGTTAACAATCAGTCAAGACTAAACGAACATGATTAACAACTTAGGAATAATTTTCAATTAAAAAATAAGTTAACTTTTAAACCACATATAGACAAAATACTAAAATTTATCTATTTGCAGAGGAATTATGTGAAACACTAAACATCCATTTTTTCTCATTGAATACTGCTTATCTTAAATTAGATACTTTTCAAAACAAAACAGACTACTACTGCCTGTCAAATATTCTAATATTTGCACACATATGCATACTAATTAATAAAAATGACAAAAACAGCTGTTATGTGCACTTTAAAACTTACTAGGTAGGTTAATAATAAGCATTTACACAATCTGAAAAGATATTTAAGTGGAGAAAAGCAAAAACACAATGCACAGGGGAATTTATCAATAGTTCTTTAAACAACAACTATCCACACATCAAAGCACAGAACCAATGAACCAGACAACTCAGCCATTGTAGCTTCTTGCTTAGTGTTTACATTAATTATGATGCTTAAATAAGAAAAAAAATCCTGTTTTTTTGGCTTTTTTTATAGAAACAAAGAAAAACAGAGTTTCAGTACATTTATCAAAAAAGCATTCTCTATAAAATGGTATATATTCTATTAAAAAGTGGCATTGGAAATTCACAATCTTGTAAGTTTTTAGAGTTATAAAGCCATTGTGTATTTTTATTATTTTTTTGTATGTTTATGTCAGGTTTGTATTCTCTTTTTTGCTCATAATTTTTACCCTTTTTTATTTTTAATTGGAGTTGTTATTTATTGTTCTTTTGAAGGAGGCAATCATTGCTCTACAGCATCACCATTGTAATTTTGCAATAAATATGTAAATAAAATAAGCAATTATTTAATCATACTCTTAATTTATTCAATTTAAAATATATGTTCTCAATCTCAAATTTGTAGTGTCTTATCCCTGTACATTATACTTTTCCTGATAACAACAGTGTCATGCTATTCATCAATGTAACTCCATTCGGGGGAAAATTTTTGAATTGAATTTACATTATTTCTGGTCTAGACTGAAAGTTCATATATAGTTAATCAGTGCCTCCTGCCCTTAAGCTTTCCATATCTGGTCTCAAATTTCATCTATCTAACACTGTTCTTGAGATTAAGGAAGGACATACAAACAGTAAGAATTTATATTCTACAATTTTTTCAAATTTTAGCCCAATAAATAAATTTGTATGTACTAATCTCTATATATAAAAATGAATGTATGTATGTCTGTGTGTGTGTCCTTCATGCATTACCACACCGTTTATCCGATTGCCGTGAAACATTGGGAAGTTGTTTAATATACTCCAGCGAAGGTTTGTGGCATAGTATGATTTCCATTAAGCTTTGAGAAGTTTTTTTTTAATACACTCCCACGAAGGTTTCTGGCATTTACCCTACGATAGATGGCACGCGTTTACACGAGCATTCGAGCACAGTGTGTTCATTCGATTTCAAATTGTGAAGACCATTTCCCCCCTCCAAAAAATATCTCTATATATGCATTTATTATTTACGATATTTGTTACAATTTTTGTTTAATTACTTTATTTCAACTTATTTTTGCTAATTACGTAATCGCTCGAACTTTGTTAAAGCCTTAACTGTATCATGAACAACAACTGAAGTTGTAGAAGGAAATTCGTCTATTTTACCGATCTAGGGATCCCCCTTTTCCAAATTTTAATATTGACTCAAAATAATTTAAAAAGACAAATTACAATAAAATGGTTTATTATCCAACTACGAGAAATTTCACAACATGCCAAGGAAGTGAGGAAGGAGCAATTAAATAATCAAAATTATGAAGGATTAAAAAAAATATATAAAAATGGGGAATATCGCACTTCTAACAATCTCTGCGAGTATGTGGGCTAAATTTAAAGAATCCGTGTTTCTCGCTTGGACAACTGTATGTGGCCAACTCACATGTCGGAAAACCTTTTGATTTATTCGTGTACGCACCAGACGGAAAAACAAAAAATATCGTGTATCCACAAAGCACTCCAATAAATAAATAAAATTGAAACGACACTTTGAAATGTTTTCCCGATGAAAATGAATAATAATAATAAGTTTCAATAAAAATGATGAAATGTAAATTTAATTTTATCATAACGAGTTTGCTTGAATTTCCTTTCTTCTGAGATCGCAGCAATGCGCGACGGGTAAGCTAGT